TGAAATATTGCATTTGAAATATTTCATTCACATTGCTGCTAGTGTGAAACCCCTATAAAAAAAAAGTTATTGAAAAAAAAACATTGAAATAAGCGATTCACTGATTCGTATCGTATTTTTATTTCCTTCAAAGATCATTCAGTTTTATATCTGGTCATTTTTGTGTAAAACTTACTTGAAAGTGAACGAAAATTTTTGCATTTTTTTTCAGTAAAATTTTAAAAATCTAAGAATGACACTATAAACATGGTTACTGTTGTTTTTGTTGATGTTTTCAAGTAGAAAATAAAGTCAACCTTATGGTATACCTTTTGAAAAATATATCATTGATGCGTGCTACATGTAAATCAGGAGGAGAGAAAGGAAAAAAAATGGAAAATTTTTTTAAAAAATTTATAGAAAATTTTCTCAACGAAATTTTGGTTTCCAATCAAGGATTGACAATCGAATCAATCACAAGTTTACATTTCCGATTTTTTGTGAAAGCAAAAGAAAAAAAAGTATACTAACAAAAAAAAATCGAATGAATCATATTTTTTGTTTCATTCAGATTTTCTTTTTGTTTTTTTTTCGTGAAATTATTATTTGTCAATTCAAGTCACGATTCTCTTATATATATTCTCTCATTATATATCTAAGAAAGTGTTGATTGAGAGTTGAGTTTTTTTTTTGTTTTGTGAAAGAAAAAGATTTGAATGACAAAACAACAACAATTTTAATATTGACAAAGTTGAAATCTTGTAACTTTATTTTTATTTTTGTTTCGTTTGTTTCAGTTGACAATTTTTTTTCAAGAAATTCTTATATATAGCTCCAACATCATCACATGGTACATTATCAGTTGCTAGTTTGAATTCCGACTATGGTCAATTATTATCCAATGATGATGATGATAATAATGGAATTATTCAACAAAAATGAAAATTGAAAAATTTACGCACGCACGATTCTTGTTTGAGGGGCTTTTGGGATAATTTTTTTGAATATGAAAAAAATGAGCCAAATTCAATTTTATAAACAAAGAAAAATATATTCACGAATCAAGGATTATTGTTGTTGTTGTTGTTGATGTTCTATGAACAAACACAGAAGAAAAAAATTGACTTTTCGTTGGTAAGCTCGTGGTCAATTTTTTTTCTGGCTTTGCTCATCTCTCATCAAAAGTTTGACTTGATGAGTATAGATTTGATTTGAGTGAGGAAAAAAAATAGATATTTTTAGATGTGTGACAATATTGAATTTGATGCTTGAAACGTGATTTTCTTATTTCAAAAAAACTTATTTTATTTTACTTTTGTTCAAAAAATGTTGATTATTTATCGATTTTATTGGATTTGGATTGGAATTCTGTGCTGTTGTTGTTATCGTTGTCAAGACACAGGTGCTGCTTCATCTTTATCATCATTATCTGATTCGGATTCTTTGGTTGATATTGTGAACCTAAATGATGATGATGATAATGATAATGGTGAAAAATTTAAACAAGAAATTTTTGATTTTAGTAATCATTATTATTATGATTCTGGTGGTGGTGGTGGTGATCATCTGATTGAATCAAGTGCATGTCAACTATTGTTATCGGATTTTCAGAAACAAATTCGCCAACAACCAAAAAATGGACGAAAATCGAAACGAAGATCTTTTTCATCATTTTATTCGAAACGAAATCAAAATAATAATGGTAATGTTGGCCAACAACAGCAGCAAAACAAACCAACATTAATTCAACTACAATCATATTGTCGTTGTTTAGTTGGCTGTCTATTTGATTATATTGATTTTCCACAATATTATAGTGATGATATTGTACGTTCACAATTGAAATTTTCACATTGTGGATTGAATTGTCTTCATTATTTTTTTACGGCAACAACAACCAAAACAACCAATCACAATAATAATAATCTATTACGATTACTTTATAGTCATACTAATTTTTCGGCCTGAAAAACACAAAACAAGAAAAGAATAGAAGAATACTTTATTCGAAGAAAATTCTTGTTTGTTTCTTCGGTCCAAATTTTCTGTTGTCAGCCGACAACATTGATTATTATCTTACTTCTTTATTCTTTGTTTGTTTGTTTGTTTCGGTCAATATTGTTGAATCGATTTTGGCCTATGTGTTTTATGTAATTCATTCATTCATTTTCTTGTATTTTATTTATTTATTTATTTTTTACTTTTTTTTTATATAAAAAGAAAATCTTTTTCATATTAAAGTGGAAAGAATGAAGAAGAAGAAGAAAAAGAAGAAAAATTCAAGTATCGATCTATCAATGTTTTCTTTTATTTTTATCTTTTTTTTTCGTTTCAAAAAACGAAAAACGGCTGACCAAAAATGTGTGATGGTCATGCATCGTGTATAGTTTTTGGACTTGATCAAATTTCAGTCTATTTTGGGCTGCCAGTCTTTTTTTCAGGGTATTATTATTCTACAGAATTTGACACGTATTCAAAAATGATAAACCTCTATGATGATATGAGAGAAGAAGCGAAAAAAACGAAAGATTGGAACGTGATATCATCATCATAGGATATCGATACTTGAACGATGCATTTGATTCTCTTATTGTGTGCAGTGTGTGTTTGTAAGCATTATTCATCACCTTATTTCATATTGTTTGATGATGATTTAAAAATGAAACGATGGACAATGTGATCCAATCATAATGATATTCAACTACTACGTGATATAGCTATAGCTAAATCGATTTGTTAATGATTTATCCATTTTTCTTCTTTTTTTTTCTCTCGAATAGATTATCATAATGTCGACAAATAATAATAAGTCATTGAGTCGAATTCCATCATCGACCAGTTCGATTGGCCTAATGAAAATGAAATCAAAACAATTAGGTAGTAATGAAAGTATTTCATCAAATGCTAGTTCAACTATTGCTACGGCCACTACTACAAAATCAAAAATTCCTAATTCATCAATACCAAAAGCAAAATCATCATTATCATCAAATGATTCATTAGTTGATGATTTTCATCTGGATGAAAAAGTATGGGTTAATGGTCAACGACCTGGTATTATTAGATTTATTGGTGAAACAAAATTTGCTAATGGTAAATGGATTGGTGTACAATTAACATCACCGGATGGTAAAAATGATGGCTCAGTATCCGGTATTAGATATTTTAATTGTCCAAATAATTGTGGTGTATTTGTAAAGCCACAAAGATTAACAAAAGCACCTATGCCTGATTCTGTTTTTCAAAAGTAAGTTTTTTCTTCTTCTTCTTAAATTTAAATTTTTCTAATGAAATGAATTTACTTTTTCTATAGACGATTAACCTCACCTGCACGTGATACGAATAATGGAACAACAATGATGATGATGCCAATTTCAACAACAAATGGAAACAGTAACAATAATAATAACAATAATAATAATGAAACATCATCAGAAAAATCATTCAACACTCAACAATCGGATATTGCATCAAATCAAAGTATTTTATTAAAAAATTCTCCATTTCTTCAACATACAACCGGTTCATCAGTGAATGGAAAATCAACACGCCATAATGGACTTGGTATTGGTGATCGTGTATTGGTTAATGCAAGTTCAGGAACAAAACTTGGAACATTACGTTTTTTAGGTGAAACAGATTTTTCAGCCGGACAATGGGCTGGTATTGAATTGGATGATCCTTTAGGTAAAAATGATGGTTCTGTTGCTGGTAAACGATATTTTGAATGTAAAATGAAATATGGTTTATTTGCACCTTTACATAAAATTTCACCTGCTCCATTAAGTGCATTGAATAAACCGAATGATACACAAAGTAAACGAAAAGGACCTGGATCAAAACTTGGTTCTACATCACGTTTATCTCGTTGTGGTAGTCAAGAATCGGTTAGTTCGATTGCATCTTCGGTTGCATCATCAACAGCAACTGGTCGTCTTAGTCGAACAGGTATTCGGTTAGGTGTAACATCATTAAAATCACCACCAACAACTAATGGTAGCAACACTGGAGCATCTCCAGGATCTAAATCAATTACAGCAGCAGTTGTTGCTGGTACTGGTGCAGCTATATTAGATGCATTAAAAGAAAAAGATGAACATATTGCTCAATTACTTAAAGAACGTGATTTAGAACGTGGTGAATTTTCACGTGTTGCATTACAAGCAGATGAACTTGAAGAACGTTTAATAACATTACAAGCAGAAAATGCACGTATTGCTAACGAAGCTGATGAAGAAATGTCTGAATTGAAACGACTTAATCAAGAATATGAAGAAATTCAATTAAAATTATCGAATCAATTGGATGAAGAACGTCGTCGTTTAGAAGATATACAATTTCGTTTGGAAGAAGAATCATTAGCAAAATTAGAATTAGAATCAACGGTAGAATTATTGAAAAAAGATGTTGAAAATTTAAAACGTAATGCTGTTTCGAATAATGATTCATCACAACAAATTAGTATATCGACAAATACTGATACTACATTATTGCCTCGAATTGATGAAAATTTGCTGGAAGAATTTCGACAACGACAAAAACTTTTGGAAGAAAAAGTTGATGATAAAGAGAATGAAATTTTTGCTTTACAAGAAGAAATTACACGTAAAGAAGAAGCTATATTTCAGTTGGAAGCATCGGCTGAAAAACGTAAAACAGAATTGGAAAGTTTACGAGCCCGATTACAAGAAATAGAATTGGAATTGGAAAAAAATCAACCACGTTCACAACGATTACAGGAAACAGTAGATGAATTGAATAAACGTGTACAACGAGCAGAAAATGAATGTCGTACAATAAGACAAGAACGAGATAATCTTTTGGATGATATAAAAAATTATGAAACAAAAATGTTTGCAATGGAAGAAAAATTAATTGAAGAAGTAAAACAAGTTAAAATTACAAATGAACAAACAACATCGACTAAAATTGCTTCACTTGAATCGGATTTGGAGAAGAAAATTCGTCAAGAACGTCAATTGGAAGAAAAATTAATCGAAACAAAAAGTCGTTATGAAAAATTTGAAAGTAAGTTAGCTGATCGATCGAGTTGATTTTTTTAAAATCATCTTTTTTCCCTGTAAAGGTCAAGTCAATTCATTAGCCGAACAACTTCGAGATTTACGTCGAACTTATGAAGAAGAATGTCGACGTCGTAAAACTGCTGAAGAAAAAATTCAACAATTAAATAACCATAATCAATCATTACAATCGAAAATTGATGAACTTATTCACAAAAGTGGTTCATCATCGGATATGCTGTCCCGGTTGAATGAAGAACTTGTTCAACGACAACAACAATCATCGAAAAAAGAATCCGAATTACGTTCGGAAATTGAATCATTGCACAGACAAAATCAAGAACGTGAAATTGAAATTAGAAATCTAAAAGTAAGTTTCTATCGGCTATGTTTTACGTTTTAATTTTGTTGTTTTGTTTCGATTGATTAAAAAGGTTGAAATTGAAAATCAAAAATCATTACTCACAAGATTCGAAACAAAAGAATCTGATGTAGAGAAATTGATACAAGCTAATGTTAATGAATTGAAATTAACCAGAAGTGATAATGAAGAAAAACAACGTCTTATTGATTCACTTAAAGTGCAGCTAAAAGATGTTAGAGATGAATTACAACAAACTTATGAACAGCAAGGTTCATTGAAAGGTATTTTTTCAGCTACAAAAAAAAACTTGACTTTTTAAAATTGATTTTAACATATATTTTCGCAGGTGAATTAGAAACAAGATTTACAAAATCACAAAAAGAATTGGCCGAATCAAAACAAAAAATTGTCACCTTAAACGAAGAATTATCTCGTTTGAAAAATGTTTCGAATGAAATTGAAAATGAACGTAACGGTTTTCATAATGAAATTGAACGTTTAAAATGTTCATGTCGTGAACATCAATCAACGATCGAAAAACTTGATGAACAATTGAATGAATCTAAACGAAAATTTGATGATTATCGAAATTCTGTCGAAAATCAATTATTAGATTCACAACGACAAGATTCGGAAATAATTTCATCACTTCGTTTGGATTTGGATGAATCAAGAAAACATTGTCAAACATTGGATAGTGAAAATCGTTTACTTCGTGAAGAAAATGCTTCTTTAGCAGCTAAAGTTCGTGAACTACAAGAAGATATTGAAGGTTTGTTCTCTTTTTTTGTTTTGTTTTGTTTTCATATTTCCATTTTTGTTTTTGTTTTTGAATGTTGGTTTGTTTTATTTTTTGAATTAACCCTTTGGTTTTTTGATTTTTTTGGTTTTTCTTCAATTTTGTTGAGTTGGTTAATTTTGATTATTTGAATTCACTCTGGGTTTACACCGATACCGTTTTACAGCCCCATTCATTTAGTGTTCACAAAGCATGCGACTTTTGGCTACTTTTTTTATTTTCGATTGATTTTGTTTTGTTTCCTTTTGGTTTTCTGTTTTATTTTTGGTTTTTGTTATGGCTATATTCCGTAGTTATCTATTAACGATCGACCAATTTAACCATCAAATTCTTTTTCCATAATACCTTTATAGTGATTTGGTATACTTATTTTTTATGCAGAAAAACATAACAAAAGATGTCAGATGATTGATGTTACTGATACTGATGATAATATTATTGCTTCTTGTCAAACAATGCTTGCTACTTCGGCTACCAGCACAAACAATATTCAAGAAAGCCAGAGTGATTCGAAAATAATAATCAAAAATACCGCTCGACAACAACAACAACAACAATCATCAACAAACGAGAATGATAATGGATTATCGACTCCAACGATCATTTCCATCATGTTGATTATCATTATTGTTGTATATTGGTTGATAACTAAATTATTTTTAAAAATTTTTCAAATTTTTTTCTAAATTTATTAACATTCTGTGGTGTGTTTTTCGAGAATAAAATTCTCTTCTTCTAATATTCTTTCTTGGTTTAAAAAATTTTCTATATTAACCTTATCGATTCAAATGTTTTTTCTTCAAATAAATTTTAGGAATGAAACAACGTCATCAACAAGTTCTGAATGAATTTGAATTTGAATGTAAACAAATGACAGATCGTGCTCAGGATGCTGAATTAAGAGCTGAACAACAACAACAACAATTAGAACATTTACAATCACAACAACAAATGGCTGTTGATGAATTTCGTAAACAAGCTGAATCAGAAAAACGTTTAATGGAATTAAAATTAGATCAATTAGAGGCAAGAGTACGTGAACAACATGAATTGGTCGTTCAACAACAACAACAATCTGATCGAAGAAGTCGTCAAAATTCAATGTCCGTTGATGAAACATCATATGAACAACAAATTGATTTTCTTAATTCGGTTATTGTTGATATGCAAAAGAAAAATGATGAACTTCGTAATCGTGTACAGGTTTTGGAAGAAATTGGTAAGGATTCTGTTTTCACTATATTTCAAACGTCAAAACTTCATAATCTATTTTTTTTCTCAATTCAGGTTTAGGAGAATTTGAAAATTCATTTCAAGCACAAGTGGAAACTACACGTAGTAGTAATGGCCTTACAAATGGTCATATACGAACATTAAGAAAATATTGTGATATTTGTGAAATATTTGATTCACATGAAACCGAAGATTGTCCACAACAATCATCATCAAGTCCGTTGATTATGGTCAACGGTGTTGGACAAGAACCAGGTCATACTTATAATGCAGTGAATCGTACACAACAACGATCATATTGTATGACATGTGAAAAATTTGGTCATGAATCTGAACAATGTCCAGAAAATGAAACATTTTAAATTATTTTATTTTGTTCAACTTTTATAATAATCTCTTTTTGCAATCAACTACGACTATCTTACTACCTTATTTCATTCCCTGTTGTTAGTTTCTTTTTCTTTTTTTGTTTGTTCAAAATTTATTTATTCACAAGTATTTATCTATAAAAAAAATCATTTTTTTCACCATTTGATAAAATTCATTTTAAATTGAAAATTGTTTTGTTTTTGTTTTTTTCAAATTTTGGCGGTTTGATGGTTTTAGTAGCGACATCTATGATCGAAGATGAAAAATGACTATATTTTTTTTCATTTGAAAAAAAAAGTCACCAAAATCATCCAATCAATCCAAACTCGAGTGTGTTAATCATCATTCCCAAAAATGACCATATTTCATCATTTGATTATGGTTCGAACAAAAAGATAATTTAAAAAAAATCATGATAAACGAACAAAATATGAGCCTTTTTATCATCAAAAAAAAAAGTTCGCGCATGACGCCCATTTGCCGAATGAATTATGCAAAATGAATCATCAGCTGATTTGATTTTTTTTGTTCACGGTAGTGGGCCGTAGCGGTCATGTAAACAGTGCATTTGATGTAAGTAAAATTACATGAATGTGGATGATAAGTTCAATGCGGCTGGCTGTATCATGCTCATTGTGTGATGTGTGTGATGTGTATACAAGAGAAAGAGAGCTGAAAAGAGCTGGATATTAATGTGAAAAAAAATGTGAACTTGATTGTGTGTCCGCCCGAAATAATTACCCGAGAAAAAAATTTGTATGATCTGTGTGTGTTGTTGAACTAAACCAGAATAATTATTTCATAATAACAGCAAGCAATCAATCAATCAAACGAAAGACAGAATTTTCAAGAATAATCATCATCATCACTGCCAATCGCGCGTTTGCCAACAGCGAAAAAACAAGTATCTACGACGAATTTAGTGAAATACAAAACAAAACAAAAAGAATTTTAGTTTTGATTCAAATTTCGTTTTTGAAAATGATGATAATAGTTATATTTGAATAAAAAGCAAACAAACATCTGTTCCAGTAACAGCAACAACATTATCGATATTTTTATTTAATCAAATTACATGGCAACAACAACAACAACAACATTATCATCAGGTCAATATTGTATGAATCATTCAATATTTATTTGATTTTACATATTGATAAACAAATGGAACGATCGATACAATTCAATTAAGTCAGGTCGATTTTTTGAATTTCCATTTAGTTCTGTACTGTGCATTACATTATAAGATTTTATTCTTCTTCCAAAGACTACAAAATACCACTGCTAAACACTGTAAGTAATGATACAAACATTAACCTTCAAAACAAAACGAAAAAAAATCACGATGTTCATCGATGATGATTATTGGCAAGATAACCTGAGTAGAAATAGAGGAAAATTCCCAGGAACCAAAAATATTATTATGAATCGAATCAAATTGAATAACAGTGATTTTCCATCCAGATTGTGCAATAAAAATGATGGTAATAAAAGAGAGAGAGAGAGAAAAAATATATGTGATTTTGCTTTTTGCTTTCTTTTACTGTCACAATTTATGAGAATTTATATGATTTGTCACATCACAATGTAAAGTATATAATAATAATCATATTTGATACTTACCCATTTTGATTTTAGTTAGTTAGTTTAGTTTAGTTTTAAAAAACTGCCACATCAAATTATTATTATTCGAATATAAGATAAAATTTTGTTGTTCAAAGTTCAGCCATTGGCTTCTTCTATTAGCTATTATAGTAAGTTATACAATCGATCAATTGCCATTTGAACATCAGCAACCATCATTCTTGATTTTTTTTAAAGAAAAAAAAAATGAATTTTTCACATTCGAATCATTTGTTTTGTAATTTGATTGATTGATTCACTAATATTTACTGTTTTAATTTCTTTTTATTCTCTCATCAGATTTGATTGTTTTGTAATAATTTCTTAATCATTCGAACCATAATTAAGAAATAAAAAATGGGTTTATTTCATAGTCCAAAATGTCGTCTATTATCAATGTTATGTTTAACATTTTTCTTTTTTTTGGTCGAAATTATTGTTGGTTATTTAACAAATTCAACGGCATTAATTGCTGATAGTTTTCATATGTTATCGGATGTTGTTGCACTAGTCATTGCATATGTTTCAGTACGGGTAAGTAATCATTATATAAATTTTGGATTTTGATTTCATTCTTTTCATTTTCATATAGATGTCACCGAAAAAATGGTCAAAAAATACATTTGGTTGGGCACGTGCTGAAGTATTGGGTGCATTGATCAACGCGGTATTTTTAGTTGCACTTTGTTTTTCCATACTAATCGAATCATTAAAACGTATTGTTGATCCGGAAAAATTACATAATCCAATATTGATTTTAGTTGTCGGTATTATTGGTTTATGTGTTAATCTAATTGGATTGTTATTATTTCATGGTAGATAAAAATTTTACTTTTGTTTAATCTTTTAATGAATTTTTTTTGAATTTTTTCATTCTTAGAACATGGACACAGCCATGGTGGCCATATTCATATACCACAACAAGAAGAAATAATACCACCATCATCATCATCATCACAAATACAGAATGGTGATATTGGTTTTGTTGATGAACAACAAAAAACTAAACCGAAAAAAATTAAACAACATACAGCAACTAATATGAATATGCGTGGTGTTTTCTTACACGTATTAGCCGATGCATTAGGATCAATAATTGTGATAATCAGTGCCTTGATTGTTCAATACACTGAATGGGAATATAATATTTATGTTGATCCTGCTTTATCAATCATAATGGTTATTATTATTGGTCATAGTACATTTCCACTATGTAAGTTTCTTTTTTTAAAATGATTTACATTAACAACAACATTGATTTTCTTAATTCTTTTTTTTTCAAATTTGTTGAATAGTAATCGATTCGGCATTAATATTATTACAAACTGTTCCAACTCATATTCAAATTGATTCATTACAACGTAAACTATTGCAAGAAATTGATGGTGTATTAGCTGTACATGAATTTCATGTTTGGCAATTAGCTGGTGATCGTATTATTGCATCAGCACATATACGTTGTCGTAATTTACATGATTATATGCAAATTGCTGAACGTGTAAAAGAATTTTTTCATAATGAAGGTATACATTCAACAACAATACAACCAGAATTTGTTGAAGCTGATGATACAATGGAAAGTTCATTTGATAATGGTGCTATTTCCGATGGACATTGGTCTTCATTAGCAAATGCTGGCCAACAAGATGTTCATTTAAAATATCGTTGGTCAAATGATGCAAATTGTGCACTTGATTGTCCACCAGGTCAATTAGGTCGTGGTAGTTGTGTACAAAGTACATGTTGTGGTCCACAACAAAAACGATCATTACCACCTGGATCAGGATTTGATGAATTAGAAATACAAAAAGCCGGTTCTAGTATTGGTACACAATTATCACGTCGTAATATTCACGGTCAATCTATCAATAATAATAATAATCAACAACTACAACAACAACCAATATCAGCGATATCCACATCCAAACATAATGGATCACCATCATTAACATCATCATCATCATCATCATCTTCATCGAACAATCAACAACAACAACAAAAAAATGATCAATCACAAATGATTAATCCAAAATCTTCATTGTTAAATGCAGCTACAAATGCAATAGCAGTTGCAGCTATTATACCAGAAAAAGATTCCAAAATTGTTTCATATTCTAATCTCAGTCAACAAAGTTCAACATCATCATCATCATCATCATCAACTAATCATCTTGGTTTGATTGTTGATTCGAAAGAAAAACTAAATTCAATTTCAAATGGCATTTAATCTTTTTTTTCCCCATAAAGATAATGGAGACCGGAAAACTTTTTTTTTCGATTTTGACATTTTTTCAAACACATAACCCTAATTGTATGCATAATTTATATATTCAAATGAAAATGTAAATGTTACACCATCATCATTTTTTTTGCACACACCGATAATTTATCGAATTTTACCCATTTTCATTTTGTTTTAGTTGATAGGAGATTTTCATTCAATTCATCTGATCATCATTATCATTTGCTTTTATTATTTTTTTCATTTTTTTAAATTCATATCCCTACTATCTATATACTATTATAATTCTCTTCTTTTTTATCGACAATTTTTTTCATTTTTTTTGGTGCTTAATAAAATAATTTTTTTTAATGTTTATTCGTGATTCGTGTTCGGATTACTCCCAATTTCCGGATGGTAATGGAATGTTTTGATTTTCACCTTTTGTTTTTTTTTCGGTTTTTGTTTTTCGGAAAATTCGGAAATCCGAATGCCTTTCATCATCATCATGATGATGTACATCGCCTTTTTGGTGGTTTCCAATCATCATCATTCCTAATTGGACATCACGTAGACGCCATTCATTCATTCATTTAACCACTTGTTACATAACATACCTATCTTAATTATACATTCCATCATAATTATCATCTATAACAAGTTTTTCAAATGAAAAAAAATAATAATAATAATCGGGTTATGTCAGTAGTCATCATCATCATAATAATGACTAACCTTAACCTTTGTTCTTTGCCATTTATAACCATCAATGTTGATGTTGTGACCTTTTTTATGGGTTCAACTCGAAAATATCTATAGTTAGTCGTTAGCTGAAAAAGGGGTTCTGCTTTTTTGTTGAACAATAAATTCAATTGCTTAACGAAGCATACGAAAAAACATAATTAAATCGAATTGAAGCATTCAACATTGTGAGAATCGAAACAAAAAAATGTCGATTCATTTTTGTTTGAAACAATAGAAAACCTTTGAAACAAAAACAAAAAAACAATGATCAATTTTAATTATCAATATTTCTGGCCAAAAATTCTTCGATTAGTAATGGACGAAATAATCGATTGTCAAAAAATATGTCGTCTGTATAGTATAGTGTATACCTGTTGCATAAGTCAAACATTCTTTGTTTTTCCTGTTTTGTTTTTTTTTCGAAATTTGGTTAAAGCGATGAGAAAAACCATGGACATTGTTTTTATCTTTGTTTTGCATATCTATAGCACAACATTAACTGAACTAAACCTGGTGACCGACATCCATAAAAATATGAATTATGGAAACAAAAAAAATGCAAAAAAAGAAGACGAAGCAAAAGATTCATTCGAATATTCATTCTAATTTCCAAGTAGTCATTCATGTTTTTTTCTTGCAAACAAACAAACAAAACAAACGAAAACTGTTCTTATTCGAATACTGGAATGATTGTTGTTCATTTTTAATTTGTCCGAACCAAAAAAAAAGAGTCCACAATAACCACCACCACCACCACCACTCATCATCATCGGATGATGATGATCAACTAGGCGCATCGAAATAAGATCTTTTTTTCCTATTTCCATCATAGCAGGATCACCATTATCAAATGTGGACTTTTCATTATAGCAGCCAAGCGAATCTTTTTTTTTCGTTCGAAAAGATGATGAGAATAGCTATTTGGCTATAGACAAAAAAAGACTCCATGTAAAGAGAGAGGTGAGAGAGGATAGATAGAGAGAAAGATGATGACTCCGGGATTGAAGAAGAAGAAGAAGACAAACAACAATTGTATGATGGTTAAGTTGACTGACTTGGTTAGTTGACTGAATTGGTTTTCGTTCGGTCGCCAATCCAAACATAACGCTAACCATCATCATCATCATCATTTACCGTTGAATGTTTTCTGTGTTCACAACTAATATTTTGGTTTTATTGTCATCAGCCATCTGTTGATGATGATATTGATGATAATGGCTAGCTAGTCAATTGGCGCCCAATAACATCTTTTTTTTATCATTTGGTGTTTTATAATTTGTTGTTTTATGATTTGTTGTTGATTTAGGCACGTATATCCACGATGAAAAACATTCATCCCTTTCATTCATTAATCAAACCACAATTGTGGAATTATAATTAGGCCAAACATCAAATCCAGCAATAGAAGCTGCTATACATCATTTGAACATGTTGATGGTTGTTGCCTAACCAAGTGAATATAGTTAGTTAATGTGTGTGTGGCATTCACATGTCAACGCGCGCCCTGAAAAAATCATCAACATCTGAATGCAGAAACAGAAATTCAAATGATGAATCTTCCTCTAATGATCAACAACAACCAGAACAACAACCAGCCGTTCTGAAAACAAACGACAAACAAACAATGTCAAACAAACAAACAAACTGGAATGGCATCACCCAAAATTTTATTCATTTTATTCATATATTTAGTGTTCTCATCATCATTATCATTCGGTTTCAATTGAATGGATTGTGTCAAAATAGCATTATTTTCAAAGCTAAAGTCAAAAATCATCATCAATATTGAATTATAAATTCAACAACTGAATAAACTTTGCTGTGTGTTTTCGGTCACATGACAATTTTTAAATGGCTTGACAGTTGGCCAACCATCATTCTGTTAACACGTATCCCGTATATATGTTATTTTCGAAAAAAACTTCAACTTGTTCCGGCCTATGACCTCTTCATATTGAATAGTTTTTAGTCGTCGATTGAACATTTGAAAAATGTTTCTTCTTCATCAACTCTAACCTAACCTAACCAATTGGTTGCCCTTCGGTGATAATAATAATAATAATAATTTTCTCATCATCAAACAAGTTTGTCGTTTGAGATTGATCTATCATCATCGATTTTCGATCAATCAATAAAAAATGTGTTCTTCATTCTTGAATTATTTTTGGCCATTTTTTTTCTCTTCTCAAACTATCATCACTGTCAACAACAACAACTATGACCGAATCTAAGGTCATGACTGCCAAAACTGCCGGCTTTTTCCAATATAAACAACAACAACAACAGTCATCAGTATTTTTCAAATTTCCATTTTTCAGAATAATATCCAGAATAATCCAACAGCAGAATGCAATCATCAATTTCATTCCATTTGTTATCATTCGTTTATGGTGTAAAAATAGTCAACTATTACGACTGCAACGACAACAACAACGAGGACGATATTGTCCATTAAATGGTCGACTAAAGATAATAATGGCCATTATTTCATTGATAATAATATCTATTTTATGGCCATTATTATTCAATCAATCAGCCAACAATTTATTTTCCATTATTATACTAGTCCATGCTCAACCACAATTCAGCAATAATCAACCATCATCATCACAACAAAATTATATTGAATGTAAGTTTTAAAAGTAGAAATAGCCATTTTGTAAATTTTGGGCTTCCTTCCTTAATATTTTCTATACTCTTTTTTCGCTTAACATCTTTTCCTTCTCGAAAAAAAACTTTCATGATTTGTTTCTCTTAAATCAATTTGAATGAATGTTTTGTTTTTGTTTTTGTTATGTAATTAGTAATCAACTTCTTCCGTTGAATTGATTGATCACTTTCTATTTATTTTTGAACATTTTTTGTTTGAATGTTTTATGTTTTGTTTTGCTTCAATTGATTTTCTCTCTCTTTCTCTTATTCAATCTCTAAATATAGAAATATATTTCAAATATCCAGTAGTCGTCGTTGTCGTTTTCTGATTGAATTCAAACAAAAAATTTTTTTTCTTCCTTTCTCAATACACGATGCTTCAATGTGTGTTTTGTTTCATAACACTGCAGTTTTATATTGAATATAAATGTTTGTTTAACTCATCAACCACCACCACCACATTTACCCAGAAAAACAAAACAAAACAAACATCACATCGGTCATAGGTCAATAGATAAATTCCATGAAAAAACATTGATATCACAGATATTTGAGAACAATTTTTTATCCCTTTGAAAATTTTTTTCCATTTCGATCCCGATAGGTCGATCGATGGTTAAACAACCTAAATTCAACGATTTTATTAATAGATACATTGTAGCAAACACGATACATTTCTTTGCTACACTCTTTTTTCTTTCTTTCCACTAAATATAGATATATAACAAACAGGTAGATAATGATGATGATCCGATATTAACAAAACGTATCAATCACCACCGTCATCAATTGTTGAATATTAAACGGTGTGTGTATCAAACTAAATTGATGATGATGATGATTCTCATCAGGTAAATAAAATACCTGTGCGAATCAATTTATGTCCAAACTCGAAGTTTCATATTTTCAACAAAAAAAATTATCCCGATTTCATCATCAAATGATGGAAAAATGAAATTTTCCTCCTGTCTTGTCTCATCATCATCATCATCAAGATTTGATGATTTCTTCATCCAAAGCATCCAAAAACAATTGATAATTTTCTTTTCATTGACCATTCACCAAACCAACCTTTGCACATTCCATTCCATCATTGACAATAGTTGATTGGTTTGACTGGTTGACTGGATAAAATTTTCATTTTTTTTTCACTAATTTCGGGCGAGGCAAACATATACATCAGATAGTGAAGAAGCAAGCAAGCAAAAAGCTACCATTATTTTTTGATCGCCTACACTTATTTTGTTTGCTGGAAAAAAGCTTAACATTTTTCTGTTTTGTTTTATTTTTTTCATTAAAAATGTCAAAGGTCATTCAAGTGTAAAGGTGTTGGATTACCTGAATTGCAGGTGTTTTTGCTTTTGCTATTGTCAACGATAATAACAATAACAAAGATTTCCTGCTGTTTCATCCAATTCATTTCTTTTCTCCCTGTTTTTTTGAAATTTGTTACATCAGCATGTGATTTTTATCTCTTTTCTTTTGTTTTCTGTTGTTTTGTTACACAGATAATCTAGCCGATTATTGTTCAAAAGAAACATGGTCCGATTATCCTGGTCGTCATCTAATTCGTTTGGAAAAATCATTAAAAATACGTTTACCATCCATATTGGATTTTCAATTTAATGAAACACATCGTCAACGTATGGGTTTTTATCGTCCTGGTTTTTATCCAAATCCAAATCCAATGGATAATCACCATAATCATAATCATAATCACCAGCAACAACATAATCAGCAACAGCAACCATCATTTGTACCATATTGTCTGCTTAGTTTTACTGTTGATTATGGTCATCGTATTTATGCTGAAGGTCTTGCCACTGGTAAGTTTATTTAACATTTTTGAAAAACTTATCTCTCCCCTTGCATACAATAGAAAAAAATCTCATTGAAAAAGAACTAGTTTTTTTTCCAAATTGAATGAAAATGATGATGACCTTTTCAATTTGACCGCCTACGAAATGATAATAATGCCATTGCTTGTTTGATTGATCAATCAAATCATTTTTCTTTTGATCAAAATTGATGCCTGTCATCTTTTATTTTTTTGCTGCACCGACAAACATTAGATATTATTTTCGAATTCAATTAAGGCTTTAAAAATTCAATTTGCATTCATATTCGTTGTTTCTGTTGTTCACCTTGTTCACCTACGCTTTTTTTTACTTTACTTGACTTTAAATAGAATTGATTACCGGTGGTAAAGAATGGTTTACGGAAACATTACATTTTTCTCGTCGATCATCATCATCATCATCATCATCGATGGGTCTACAAAATACACCAGAAATCGGTACATTCACCATATCGACAACAAAAAATTCATTAACACTAGTCTTTGAACAATTACATTTGGGTCCATTTAGTTTTCATCTAATTTTAACACCATTTCGTGATGGTAATTATCTTATTCTGATTCATTTTTTCCCGTATCATTTTTTTGTTAAAATATCAATTTTTTTCAGCAAAACCAGAATTTATATTCGGTTGTGAAAATGAACATGAATATAAATGTACAAATGAACGTTGTATAGCAAAATATTTAGCTTGTGATCATCATAATAATTGTGGTGATTATTCGGATGAACATGTTGGTTGTATGTCACGTGTACCATCTACTATACGGCCATTATTATCACCATCATCAAGACAACCGGAATTTATTCCACCAGATGGAAGAGATAACAGTGGACAAATAACAGATAATTTACCCGATCGACCACCAACATCAAAATTACCAACATTCCCAATCGATATTGATCATACATCATATGATGGTGGTGGTGGATCATTTGATAGTGATACAATACCAGAATATTTTGATATTCCATTTCCTGGTCGTGATAAAACAACTAATGGACCAGGAACAACAACAATATTTCATAAACCTAAACCAATGAATGGTTTTCATGGAACTGATGTTCATACTGGTGGTGGTGGATTTCTTGGTGATCTTTTTCGTTTCGATTCTGAACATACATCAAATGTTGTTAAAGTTGTTCGTTATCTTCTTGCTTTATTGCTTATTATCATATTGGTTACGTTGATTAATTTTCTAATATGGTGTTTGATTACTAAACGTGATCAATCATTTATAGCCGCATCACCACCACCACCACCACCACCTGTTGAAGAATCTGGTAGTCCAATACCTCAATCACTTAGTGGAGCACCTTCACCATCATTATCACAACAGCATCAACGACAATTACCACCGATATCTGTCATTTCGGTATGATCATTCATGTTGTTGTTGTTGTTGTTTGTAAATACGAAGAAGAAACTTATTCTAAAAACGAAAAAAACAAAAGAAACTTATTAATTATATAGTATTACTAAATTATCAATATATTTTGATAAATTGTTTTTATTTTATTTGTAATTTTTTTTAAATAAAAATACTGTCCAACTTTGATCATTAAAAATTATAACGGAAATAAAATTCTTTTTCGAACGAAAAACAAAACAAAAAATTATTTTTTCAATCATTCGAATCGCTATTTAGACTGTATAGGTTTGTTTGGGTAGAAACAGTCTGAACAATAAATAGGAGTGGATTCACCCCATTGTTCGAATGCAACCAAACATGGATGAATGATGGGAGATATATTTTGAGCTGGAAAAATGAGCTTTGCTTGCTTGCATTCAATGTGTGGTCTGCTGTTAGCCGCTTTTTTGCTTTGTCAGGGAATATTATTTTTAGTTTGCAAAAAAAAGAGAGTGTGAACAAAAAAAAAGAAGAAAAAGAAAAAAAAAGTAAAACCAAGTCTCGATCCAGTCTTGTGTGTGTGTATGGTGTGTGTATATTTGATTATATATTGCCGCCGTTTTTTGAAAATTTAAAAAACAAAATTGAATTGAATGTTTAGTGATTAATAAATAAATAGGATGCCTAAACGAAAAAAATCCGGATTTGATGATGGATCGGATTGTGGTAAACGTCGAAAATATGATCTGGTAGGTTATCGATTTATATTCAACAATGTCACCAATTAAAACATCGATTGTTTTGTTTTGTTTTGTTTTTTCCGTTTCGTAACAGTCGGAACAGTTACAAGAATTGATTGAATCACTTCGAAATTATAAAACATCACAAGGTAAATTATTATGTGAAACATTTATGCGTGCACCAAAACGTCGAACATTGGCTGAATATTATGAAAAAGTATCGACACCAATCGATCTGTTACGTATACAACAAAAGATTCGTATGGATGAATATGATGATCTTGATCAATTTGAATCCGATATTAAATTATTGATCAACAATACAAAAGCATTTTTTACACCAGACACTACTGAATATGCAGATGCTGTAAAATTATGGGATGTATATGTTGATTTAAAAAATCAAATATTCGGTTCATCAAGTAGTACGGCCAGTTCGGATGAATCATCAATAGCAGCTGAATGTAAAAATGATTCGGCTGATGAAAAATCCGAAGAAGCAGACGCTTCATCAATCATAGACAGTGGTAGTGTTGATGATGAAGATCCATTTGAAGAATTATTCGGTGCTATTATGTCGGCCGTTAGTGATGATGGTCGACAATTATCAACAATGTTTGAATTATTACCATCACGTGCTGCTTATCCAGATTATTATGATATTGTAACCGAACCAATTGATTTGAAAATGATTGCATCACGTATACAAAATCATGAATATAATAATTTAAATGATTTGGAAAAAGATTTAATATTAATGATACGTAATGCTAAAATGTATAATGCACCCGGGTCACAAATTTATAAAGATGCTAATGCATTAAAACGTACTGTTCAACAGAAAAGATCCGAAATCGAAACAAGACGTACAACACCGGCTGCTAAATCATCCGAAAGAATACGTGCTAAACGTCAAAATCCATTTGGTCAACAAAATAAATGGAGTTCAATAGCGGCTGCGTTAAAATATGATGAAGATGGTCAAGGAACATCTACAACAGCTGATAATGATGATGATTTTGAGGAAAATGAATTGAATTTTTCCGATTCTGAACATGATCAAGATGATAATAAAGATTCGAATCCACATTGGATGCTTTATAATGCTGTTTATGAAACACCACATTCTGAACCATTTTTTCGTTTACCATCACGTCGTATTTATCCGGATTATTATAAAGAAATTAAACATCCAATTTCACTTGGACAAATTGGAAATCGTATTAAAACCAATCAATATGAACGTATTTCTGATTTATTGGATGATTTGAAATTAGTGTTTGACAATGCTATGAATTATAATCGTCCTGATTCAAAAATTTATAAAAATGCAGCCAAATTAAAGAAAATATTACAGATGAAAGCTCGTGAAATAATGTCCGTTTATAAAGATGAAGGTGGTGAAGATGATGATGATGAATATGATGATGATGATGAAGATGGTGCCGATACAGCATATGATGATGATGATAATGATGGTGGTGGTGGTGATTCAAATCTAATGATACCATCACCAACTAAAAAAAGTAAAGCCGGTCAAAAACCATCACGTTCATCGAAACGATCTATGGTGAATGCAATGTCACAAGAACTTAAAAATGTACGCCGTTCACAAAAAGCTATTAATTCGCAACAAAAATCTCGAATGATTACTTTATATCGAACAGTTTTACATTCGGATGATAATGGTCGTTTGTTAATCGATCCGTTTATGGAAAAACCATCACGAAAATTGTATCCAGATTATTATGATGTTATTGAACGGCCTATCGATATGAAAACAATTGAGTCAAAAATTCGTAATAATCTTTATGAATCCGAAACTGCATTAGTCAATGATTTTCGTTTGATGTTTTCCAATTGTCGACGTTATAATGAAGATGGTTCGCTTATTTATCAAGATGCTGATCGTCTTGAACAAATAATGGATTCAAAAATTCTTGAACTTGGACCATCACAAAATCAAATGACCAATCAATTAGATTCGACTGGACAACGAATGAAAAAAGAACGTATACGACCATCATCAGCTATACAGCTGAAAATGAAACAATTATTTGATGCTGTACAAAGTTATAGAGATATACGTGGACGACAATTATCATCAATATTTATGAAACTTCCATCACGTACTGATTTCCCAGATTATTATGAAGTAATTGCTAAACCATTATGTTTAGAAAAAATAAATCAACGTATCAAAAATTGTGTATATGAAACTGTTGAAGATTTATTATCCGATATAATATTAATGTTAGATAATGCTTGTAAATATAATGAACCTGATTCACAAATATTTAAAGATGCATTAACATTGCAACAAGTTGCATTACAAACAAAAATTGGTTTAAATGTTGATACTGTTAATGGAATACCTGATGTTAAAATTATTGTACAAGATTTATTAACAAATTTGTTCATTTCAGTTTATACACATCAAGATGAAGAAGGTCGTTGTTTTTCTGATTCAATAAACGAATTAACCGAAACTAATCCTACAGAATTGAAAACATTAAATTTTGATATAATTAAACGTAATCTTAATCTTGGTCGATATCGTCGATTGGATCGTTTTCAACAAGATATGTTTGATGTATTTGAAAGATCACGTAAAGTATCACGTACTGATTCACAAGCATTTGAAGATTCAATTGAATTACAAAGTCATTTTATTGCAAAACGAAATGAATTATGTAGTAATGGTGAACTTTTATCATCAAAAGCATTAAATTATACTTTGAATACATTACAAATTCATATTGAAAATTTAAGACAAGAAAAAGTTCCAAAAGAATTATCCGAAGAAGAATCTAATCGACAATCAATGGATACGGATAAAGAAATTGATACGGTTAATAATACAAGTTCAATGTCCATTGGTGGACCAATGCAAACAATCAATGAAGATGAAACAATATTTTATCAAGATCTTATGCTTAAAGTTGGTGATTTTGTCTATGTTGAACCACATGATAAAAATCTTGATCCACATATTGTTTACATTGAAAGTTTTAAAAAAGATAATACTGGACAAGCATTAATATATGGTTGTTGGTTTTATCGACCACCCGAAACATTTCATTTAGCATCGAGAAAATTTTTAGAAAAAGAAGTTTTTAAAAGTGATAATTTTACTACAACACCCATATCACAAGTAAAAGGTAAATGCTGTGTTATGTTTGTCAAAGATTATTTCCGCTGTCAACCGATTAATATTGATGATAAAGATGTTTATGTTTGTGAATCACGATATACAAGCAAAGGAAAATCATTCAAAAAGATTAAAATTTGGCCTTGTCTTCAGAATACACCATACATAATGCGAGCCAATTTATTACCAATGTCACGTGTACCATCAGTTTTTGCTAAAAATCGTCAAAATATTACCACTGCTGGTGGTAGTGATGGTAAACCTGTAATGATTGAAACTGGTGATGAAATTTCTGCCAATGATGATGTAATGGCTCCGGTAACTGAAAGCACTGATTGTTCGGTATTGGATGTTCCACGGCCGAATGTACCTTGTCCACCACCAATCGATTGTCCTGTAGATCCTAGTGTTCAGATTCAATTCTATGAACAATTTTCAATTCCAGCTGGAACATTCCGTGTTGGTGATTGTTGTTATGTTCGTACAGATCAGGAACGAAATTTAATCTGTCGAATCGATCGTATGTGGGTCGATCATGATGGTAATCCATATTTTCATGGACCATGGTATGTTCAACAAGCTGAATTACCTCCCACTACTATTGGATCATTTTATCCACAAGAAGTGTTTCTTAGTTCAATTGAAGATACGAATCCATTATTATCCATTTGTGAACGTTGTTCAGTGTTAGATACTAAAGATTATTGTACTTTACGACCAACAGAATTTATGGAAAAAGATGTTTATGTTTGTGAAATTCGTTACCTGGAACATGAGAAAAAATTCGAACCATTACCTGAATGTGGTTTGAAAAAATTTCATCTTCAAAATCCAGCAACCGTAATTGATGAAATTTTTCGATTCCGTACTCCATTAGTTTTGACTAAAGCAAATCATCAATTACCACAAGTAATCGAAGATCCTAATCATCCACTTTATCAAAAATTGATTGCTCAACAACAATCACATCAACAAGGATTATCATCTACAATTGATCCAGCTCAATTGATGGTTTCCGATTCACTTTTATCATCGGTTCAAGATGATTCTACAAATGATACAGTTACCGGTATCAGTATTACACCATCAACAAGTATTATGCCACCACCAGGAACTCCTGCTGCTGCTGCTGGAATGACAGTATCGAATACCCCTATGCCAATTGGTATTCAAATGAATGTTACACCGAATGGTTCATTCAGGACTAATAATGGACAGATTTTACCTGGTACACCGGTTACCACACCAATCGTTACACCTTCAGCTATAATTTCTAACAATGGTATTTCCACACCAATTACATCAAGTGGAAATAATAGTAAAAAAAAGCCAGCTACAAAACGTTTGGTTACTGGTTATATTATCTTTGCTTCTGAATGTCGTCGATCAGTTGTCGAAGCAAATCCTGAATGTTCATTTGGTGATATTAGTCGTATAATTGGTAATCAATGGAAATTATTGACACCCGAACAGAAAAATGATTTTGAACAACGAGCAGCAAAACAAAATGCCGAAGTAAAAGAATTAGTTGCTGCTGAAAAAGCATTACAAGAATCTTTGGGCCCATCATCACCAGCTCCACAACCTGGACAGCCAATGGAAAATTGTGTATTCGAATGTCATTGGGCCAATAAATGTGATTACCAATTCGAAGATGCTCAAGATCTTTTCGAACATTTAACTGGAGAACCGAATGGACATGTTTGGATTTCATATGCAGATACTAAGGATAAAGAACCGGGTGAATTTCAATGTATGTTTCATGGTTGTGGACGAGTTAAGAAAGGAGCCACGTAAGTATATATTTTTAAAAAATTTTGCTTTCTTTTTTTTAAATAAAAATTATTACAGACCTTTTCCAAGTATTCAACGATTGATTCGACACTGTAAAGAAGTTCATATTAACAAACAGATACCAAAATTTCTTGATCCAGCAAAACGTTCAAAGAATTTTTTTCCATCATCTAAATTGGCTGCAGCTACAATGGATCACAATAGTCAAGGTTCTTTTATACAAACCGGACAGCCAGGTACCATTCCAAAAACGGGCACAACAACTACAATTATGCAGGGAGGACAAACATATCAAACAATTAATATTCAACATCAACCGCAATTGACATTGGGTCAACATCAGGTGACTACATCTACCATTCCGATTATGACTCAACAAGGACATCAAACTATTGTTACTACACCACATGGTACAGCACAATTAGTGACAACTACCGGACAAGGTGGACAAACATTCATTTCTCAACATCCATTGATCGCAACACAATCCGGTCAAACTTTTCAAGGTGTTCTCCATCATCATCATCCTAATCAATCGACCGTTGTTCAATCTGTTCCTCAATCGACAATCCAGTTTCAGGCTAATGGGCAACAAATTCAGTTACAAACCACTCAAAATGCCCCTCAATCAATACCGACTCAAATACATAAGACAAGTATGTGCTCTTATCATTCGTATTTTTTTGAATTTTTGCTGACATTTTTTTTCGATACAGGTGTTGGAGTTCAGGTGAAACCAGCAGAGCCACTTTTTGTTCAACCACCAAGAACTAATCGTTTGGTACATAGTCAAGCATACATGAAGTAAGTTTATCCTTTAATTTTAACTTATTTATTAACCATTTTTTCAATGAAATCAAATAGATACATTGAAAATCTAAAGCCAGATCGTCGATTTATTTCATCATGGGATCGTCAATTACAGGCGAAAAAACCCGAAAATGTTTACTCTTTAGCACGGCAGAATCATTCTGCTTTGAGTAATTGGCTGGAAAATGGTCCGGGTGCCAATCATGGCACAATCGAAAACGCTTTATGGGCATTGCGAAATTTTATGCACAAAGATGCATTAAATTTAGCTCAAAATTGTTAACAATATTAATTTTTTTCAGACATTAATCATTTTTATTTCATTCGACATTTGTTTGCTATTCAGTCGCACTTGTCTGTGTGTGTGTGTAATGTAATTTAGTTAAATTTTTTTGATAAGATATCAAATAAAACCAAATATATTTTTTTTGAAAGGAATTTAACAAATGGAACATTTTCTTCAGAGATCGTTGACATGAAAACAAAATGAATGACAAATGCACACTGTTTGTTTATTGGTCAGGTATTATTATTGATGCTTGATTATTGATTCACTGATTCACATGCATCGATCCATTCGGTATAAACATCTATCGGTTCAGAAAGATAATTAATGGTTGATTGAAAATCTTCCAAACAAATTCGACAACTAATACGGCCAACATTACGTTGACGATCCAATTTAACTTCGCACGATTTTTCATGATTACAAAATGGACAATTGAATAATGTATCCAATGGTTGAATTGGTTTTTTAGCTGCCATTGGCTTTCTTTTACTTTTCTTTTTAGCCATTTTTAGAGATCACTGAAAAAAAATATCAAGTCAAGTATCGGTTTTTCAATTTAAATTGAATTGCAAATTTAGGTAAACAAAATGAAAAGAAAAAGTTCCACCAACATTTGTCAATGTAATATGGAGCCAAAACAATGATGAACGATACTATCGATTGTACATTCTTTCTCTTCATCGATGTTCAGCTGTATTTTCCTTATTATTATTATTGTTTATTCGGATATTTTTTTAAAAGAATTTTTCAAATATTAATGTCAACATTTCTATTTTTAAAAAATGAAAGAAAAAAATTTACATTCCTTTGATTCGATCGATTCGATAGCTGTTATCGATGAAGATAGGACTATGCCTTCAATCGTAAACTTTGTATGCCGTTTGATGTTAATTCTATCTCATAGCCTTTTCTGGCTGTTAAAATTGACAAATATCTATTTTATAAATCTTTATCATCATTTACGATCACATTGGATTAATATTGATTCTCAAACGAAATCAAATTTGTCTCGTGTTCCAATGAATCTAGCTATTTGTATTGGTTTAGAAGATTCGAAAATAATTGATATGAATATAATTGGTCAACTATTATGTTGGTGTCAAACATTATCGATCAAAACATTGACTATTTATCATTATTGTGATGCATTTCCTGAATTGAACAACAATACTCTTAACGGAATTGAAGTGCAAACAATTTCACTTTCATCATCGCATCAATCATTGATTGAATCTGTTCGAAAAATTTGTCAACAAAAATTGCCAATTACCAGTGAACAAATCAGTCAATATCTACGTCAACAAGGATATTATAAATTTGATGATCCGGATTTGTTGATATGTTTCAACGGTGATCAACGATCTCTTCAAGCATTTCCACCATGGCAGATTCGTTTAACTGAAATTGTTTTTCTTCAATCGCATAGACTTTTGAATAAAAGTCAATTTTTATATATTTTGAAACAATTTTCTCGATGTGAGCAACGATTTGGCAAATAAATACTATTTAAATTTAAAAAAAATTGAATCACCGTCAGGTATTCTAAAAGTTTGATTTTTTTGTTGATTTGATTAATAAAAAAAAATTTATTTTATGAAAATTTCAAATTTCAATATGATCAATCATTTTCTTGATTGCTTCAGTGCTTTTTGAACAAACCTTGGCAAAACAAAACTAGCTTTATGCATGGAATCTGAATAGTATTTCAGCCCAAACCTTTCGCAATCTTCTTCACTAAATCGATGCTTTGGTTCAGTGAAATTTACGTTTGCTTCTTTTGATGCCAGTAAGAATCCAATCTGACCGGACGGATATGATGGAACCGATGTTGTAGCATAGGAAATGGATGGAAATATTTTACTCACTCTATCGAATAGTGATTGAATGAATTTCAATTCATACCAATAAGATTCGGCTTGCGAACAAATTATACCACCTGGTCGAAGACATTGAAATAATTGTTGAAAATATTCATTATTAAACAATAATTCGGCTGGTCCTTTTGGATCACATGAATCCGTTATGATCACATCGAATTCGTTTGGATTTTGTCGAACAAATTCATAGCCATCTTGAAAATTTAGTTTCAATTTATCATTTTTAAATCCTTCACTCATAAATGGTAGATAACGTTTGGAAGCATCAACAACTTGTTGATCAATTTCACATTGTACAATTTGTTCAACTAATGGATGTTTACAACATTCTCTTGCTACACCACCATCACCACCGCCAACAATTAACACACGTTTAGGATCATTATGAACGTTTAGTGGTAAAAATGCCATCATTTCTTGATATGCACATTCATCAAGCTCAGTACATTGCATAGCATCATCTAATGCTAAACATCGTCCAAATATCTGACTATGAATTACAATATTCATCAGAATAAAATAAAAATTAATCTGAAAATCTTACTTTTGAAAAATAAGAATATTCTGATAATCAGAACGTTTTTGATAAATCAAACGATTGATTCGAGTTGATATGACAATATCTTCACTGTGGAGAGCAGCAGTTTCATTAAACCATCCATGCTCTTTTCCATCCGTTTCTTCACCATTCTCTCGTTGACAATTATTCAAGCCAAATCTATTGTTCGAATATCCAATACGTTCAGACATTATTCAATTGGGCAAATCTCGTTTTTTTCAACAACAATTATATTGCTATCATCATTAGTCCTTCACAAACAAAAAATTATCATTTTCATATCATAATTTTTCTAACGTGGATTATTTTGTTTCTCCTTGAATGAACAAAAAAAAATTTGAATTAAATAAAAACAAAATATTAACTTTATTTCGATTAAATCGGTTTGTTTATCAAAAAATGTGCAATCACACTGCTGATTGACGAGAATTGAATGCTATTTGGGAAAAGAAAAAAAACATTGTTGATAAATTGAATTCGAGCTCAAACTTGTTTTGGCTTGGTCGCATCAATCACATTAATTTTTAATATATCAATACCAATACCGTCAGGTAACTTGTAGTAACCGGTAAAACATTCATACACAAACAGAAAGAGCAAGTCATATACAAAACAAAAACAAAAAGACTATTTATGATGAGAATTAGAAAAAAAAATAATATTTTTATTAGAATCATTTATAATGGTAAAAGCAAGAGGCAATTGCATTGAAGTGAAGTGAAGAAAAAAAAACATTTCCATTTATTTGAATAGCCAACAATTAATTTTGATGATCGATTTAACTGTGTCTGTTGGTTTGTTTGGCTTGATTGATTGATTGATTGATTGGTTTAAAAACAAAAACCAATATGAAAAAAAAGTAATTTAGTCATATCCATAAATCAAATCAAACAATGGCCGATGCAATATATTCTGAAATTGCCATCGATGATGATCGAACAGTTATCTTCATCGTAATACCATCGGTTGATTGTGCCAATTTAGCTCGAATTAAAACTTGTACCTGACCACGAAACAATCCGGAAAGAAATACAGTATGAGCATTCTTACCATCCGGAACACGATCCGATCTATCACAAACATTCATGTCCATAAAATTTACTAAATTTTTGATCGCTTCATCCAATGTTTTGAAATTCGAAAGTGCATAAGTTTCTTCCACTTGATTCTCTTCACCGGCTTCTTCCCAAAAGGTTTGAAAATCTGGTACAATCAATTTTTGCATATAATCTGAGATTAGTATATCAACATCTTCCAGTGCATATTCATCTTGATAGCTAGAAATTTTTTTAAAAATAAATAATAAATATTAACCCTCAAATCATAAAAACATACCCTTCATCATCCAAAACTTGACTAGTGTTGGGATCACAATCTTTTACTAAATATTTGAGAGTAACCCCGGTAAATGTTCCAAACAGATGAGAAATGTCCATTTCAGAATTTTCGATATCATTATCTGATGGAAAAGAATCACTAGCCAGAACGACATAAATCGAACGAGGTGTATTGTAAACAAGTTGATCGCATTTCACTTGTAATTTTATATAAAAATTTTCAAACATTTCCATATCGATGGAAACTTGTTCCAAAATCTGATCATTCAATGTATTCGTACAATCAAACTGTAAAACAATATGTTCACGAAACATATGTTTGATACATTGAACTACATATTCGGTTTCGGATTCGGTTAATTCAATAGGTAATGATGATTTTAAAATTGGTCCCAATCGAAGTGAATTCAATTCAGGTACTGATGCCAATTGTTCAGCATAAAGATCTTGTCTTGTAGCGGCAATCTTTTCAATGGCCGATGATGCACCAGTACCATGGTGGTTAACTCCAACGGCAGGTCCATTGGCAAGAGATTTACGATTAGAATCAGATTTGATGGATTGATTAGCGTCTAATAAACCAGTTATTGGCGCCGTTGACAATGGAACTTGTTTGATATCGAATGATTGTTCTTGATTCGAATGAGTATCCTGTAGATAAGCAGACAAGGCTTTTTCCAGACCAACAATTGATACTTGTAATGGATTCGATATGCAGTTCATTTTTGTAGATTTTGATTGTTTTGCCAATATATTCAGATGATAAGTTGCACGATCTCTGACTTCATCATCAGCATCGAGTACTGATCGTTCTAATAAAACCAGAATTTGTGGCAATAAATCTTCACAATGGGCAGCAAATTTTGCCAATGATGAAACTGCTGCCGCTCGAACAGGTGATTTTTCCAAAATAAGACGATTATAAATGTAACGAATATATTTAGCCGGTTGAGCTGTTTTAACACCTTCACGTCCAAGCAAATAGAGAATCTTTACAGCCAAACTTGTATGTTCACAATCTTCGATGAATTCGCAAAGATAAGCTAATCCAGTTTCTTTTGCTTCAGGATTATCTTCAATAATTGCAATGATAGTATCTACAATAGATTTTTTATATTCATATCCACCTTCTTCATGCAACATTGACGAAAGAAAAGACATCATTACAGTATGTTTACGAGGAAACTTGGCACATAATGCACGTGTTGAACCAACAACAACAATTTTAAATTCATCGGATATTTCCGACATAAAAGAAGCAATTTGTTTCATTAAACGTTCAACAGAAGATTCATTGCCAGTTTTCAACAATGTTGTGATTGCTAACGTTGCGATTGATCGATTATTATCGGTAATAAGATTCTCTAGATCAACATTACATGCCATCACAGCAGTCGGATGATTCATAGCAATTTTGTTCAATGCACGAACTGCTGCAAAACGATTTGTTGATTTTGATGATGAAAGCATCAACTGAAGAACCGAAATGGCTGAAGCAAGTTCTCGTTGCGATGTACAACTCAAATTGATTATTGCATTAGCAGCTTCATAAACAACCATTTCGGATTTATGTCGTAGACAGGATTCAATGTAATCATAGTAGATGCTATCCGATCCAGCACCTTCATCTTCGATCAATTTAGCTGATATACGAATAAGTTGACAAACAGCAAATGGTGATTTCATTGGACTACGAACTAATTTAGTCACTAGTTTGGTGACAGCTAAACGATCGCTTTTACGAATATGATAGAGCAATCCAAGAGCATGATATTGTACCATAATGTTGTCGGAATTCAAAGCTTCCTGTGCTTCGTTTGCCCATCGTTTTACACCATCTGGAATGGTTTTGGCCAAATGCAACGAAGAAACCAATGCAGCCGATGACACAGTAGGATTACGATCTACGATGGCTTGTTTCATGTATCGTTCTATTCCCTACATTATATCAAAGGAACAAACATGGTTATAAGGTTTTCATGATCGAAGTATATCATATTGTATTACCTGAAACGTTGAAGCTTCAGTTATTTGACACAAAGCACGTAAAGCAGCCGGTCGACATTGATCATCTTTAGCATTCATATCAGTTGTCAATGATGATGTGACAACATAAACATTTTCTGCCATTCTTGATAATTCTTTTATGCCTATATACACTAAACGTCTCAATGTAGAATCTTTAGATTGAAACAATTTGGTCATGTTGAAAAACGCATCGGTTGCTTCGAGTGTTGTCAACGGAGCCATACCGGTATTTATAAGATAAAGAATTTTGGTCAATATTAACGAACATTTTCGTGGATTGACCGGTGTTTCATTGAAAACACGAGCCTCTTGCAATACTGATGTTTTATCCAATCGTGCGAACGGATTACAGAAACCTTCTTCTTCATCTTTTTTGTCTCGTTTATGTATCATTTCGATATGATTATAATTGAATCGATCGATCAATGAATTTTTTAACAAATAAATATAGCATCGGTCATAAAAACACTCAATGAACGCCACGTCAACCTGGCTATAACTATACTGTCGATGTAGTTATAGCCGTCCGAAATGAGATCGTGATGAATGAGTGTAGTCGTTTGTGTTGATATAGTAAAAAATTAAATTATTTTTGAAATAAAAATTCAATTTATTTAAAACAAATTAACTAAAAGAAAAACAAAGAAACAAAAATATAAATTATCAAATGCCTACAGGGACTAAATGATAGGCTACAAGTTAGAATGAGAATGAGAGAAACAAAAAACAAAAAAATGGAAAGGAGTATCTTGTTATAGGAGATCTACAATAAATTAGAACGGAATTTTTTTTGTAAGGAAACATTGGATTAAGGGGAATAGATTCGAATCGATATTGTCTCCATCTAAGAAAAAGAGACATATAAGAAGGCAGCATTCACTGTGCACATTCGACAATTTAAAGATATTAAAGACTATTGTTGAGCACCGGAACGACGATTCATAATCAACAGATAAGGATATGTAGTATCCATTTCATATCTTTGTGGATCTTGTTTTCGTAATTTTTCAAAATGTTGAGTAAAATGTTGATCATAATCACGATAAACCTGTAAAAAGAATCGACCATCATCGAATACACGACGAATAAATCGATCAAGTTTATCACCACGTCTTGGTGCCATAATAAATGCTTGACCAATATTCTGATCATTGTTGACCAATAAAAAATCAATAGTTTCAATCAATGATTGATGTGCATCCGAACGAAATAAACAATCAGCACAGATAATTATTTCAATATGATTTTTCAGCTCTTCATAATGTTCAGGTTGATTCCAACATAATTGCTGTACAATAATCTTCAATTCTTTCTCTGTCTCTGATTTTTTGTGTACAGTATTCATTTCGGGAAAATTTCTTTGAACAATTTGTTTGATATTAAGTACACATCGTTCATTACCATCGGTAAGATAGATTTCTGTAGCCAGACCAGATTTTGCTGCAATCAATCCGGCTAATGCTGAACAACCAGATCCTAATTCACATAATATTCGTCCTTGAAGTTGAGTTCTTACATTATGATTATGAGCTAATAAATAACCCATTGCTTCTTCGGATGACCAAACACGAACATTACCCGAATTATCAAAACCAGCTAAATCTTTTAATTTTAATCGATTATGTACTAATTTAATATACAATTCTAATTGATTATTGTTGTTATCACCATCAATATTTGTTGTAGCACCGGTATCTTCATTATCATCATCATCATCCTCATCATCATCATCGATATCAGTATCGGAAAAATTATTATCACCATACAATCGTTTGTTCCATTGACATTCAATCCAATCATCATTAGAATTTGATTCATTATTAAATTGATAATTATAATCAATAAGACCATAAGTTTCGATTAAATGTAATAAATGATTACGATCAATTTGTTCAATGAATGATGAATTTCTTGAATCAGAATTTTCCGATGAAATTGAATCAGATGCCGTAGATGTTGAATTATCATAAACAATTAATGAATCATTAGTAGTAACAGTAGTAGTGTTTCTTAACATTTGTAATTCTTGTAGATCAAATTGTTTCATACGTACAGCTTTTGATAATAATTGCCATCTTTGTCGACTACGATTTATGTTTGTTTGACTGATTTCTGCCTGTTGACCATTACTAGATATTGTTTTTTGTTGTTGCAGATCATTATTACAATTCGATGATGATGAATGAGATGTTGAAGTGTTTGAAGAACAATTTAAAATGTCCGAATTGGCCATATTTTTATAAGAAAATATTAAGAAATAGAAAGATAAAGATTGACTTGACTCGGGTGATTGACTAGATTTTTGACTTTTTGTTTTCTTTGATATGATTTACAGCATTGATAACAACAACAAAAAAATGATTGTGCCAAGCAACAACAAAAAAAAAAAAGATTTTAAGGAAATTCCATTTCGATTCGGTTAAGGTCGCTTCAATTTGCGACATCGAACCGAACGAATGGCAAAAACTAAACAAAACAAAAATGTAAACAACAAAATTGTGATTCGGCGTAACTCACAAACGACGTTCGCATCCACTTAATTTAATGTTTGATGCTAACCATTTTCAACAAAAAAAAACCATGAATCAATCTGATGATAATCCATTTGGTCATTCAATTCCATTGGATGTTCAATTTGCATCGAAACTTTTATCAGCAACAACAATTGATGATAATAATGCTACCATTGATACGAATTGTTTTGGTCTGATATCCGCTGCTAAACTTGATTGTTTATGTCGAATGTGTTATGAATATACTATTGATAAATCATTTTCACGTATAAAATATCTTCGAATTCGATCATCAATTCTTGATGAATGGAATTCTAATGATTGTATAAAACCTTTGAATCTAAGTGTACGAGATTTTGATCGTATTTTTGCCGGTTTATTATCTGTATGTCAATGTATTGCAAGACATTTTCCAAAGCCAAATTTTGTGGCGAACAATTTCGATCAACTACGTGAATCAATTCAAAAACATAGCCAAATGCCTGAACCAATTTTTGATTTGATTTATGAAAAATTTCTACATTCAACAACAACTTTGAATTCAGCAAAAGATTTAAAACCGAATATTATACCATTTGTACAATGGGATTGGATAGCCACTGGTTATCGTTTAATATCGATCAGATGGAATTTATCACTGGCCATTTCCGATCTGGTTACACCGAAAATAATGGAACCATTCGTTCGATTTGAATTTATTTATGGATCTGGATCGACAATAAAACAACAAAAACAAATCATATTCGAATGTCGTATAAAACAATTTCATCAACTTCGTTTTACAGTTGCTTGGTTGTTGAAAGAAATGGCCAAATTAAAATCAAATAAAATTCTTTCCAATTGAATTATTTTAATAAAGCTTTCTTCATTTATTTAGAATCATGTTTTATAATGTTTATTTGGATTTTGTTGACGAAGAATTTCGGCAGCTTTTTCCGGTGTTATATCTCTTTGTGATTGTGCACACAGTTCATAACCGACCATAAATTTTTTAATTGTTGCCGATCGTAATAATGGTGGATAATAAACAGCATGCAATATCCAATGTGATTGTTTTGAATCAAAATATTCGGGACCGGTTGGTGCACCATGCCATCCCATTGAATATGGAAATGATATTTCAAAAAGATTATCATAAATGGTTAGTAAACCTTTCATTATAGAAGCTAAAGATTTTTTTTCCATTTCATTAATATCATTCAATCTTTGTATGGATCGATGATAAGGTAATAACATAGTTTCAAAAGGCCATGTTGCCCAAAAAGGAACCAATGCTAGCCAATGTTCATTCCTAATTACAATACGTTCTTCATTTGATAATTCTTTTTGAACATAATCCCAAAGCATTGCACGTCCATATTTTTCAAAATAATTACGTTGTTGTTGATCTTTTTTCCGTGGTATATTTGGCAAAAAATGACTAGCCCAAATTTGACAATGTGGATGTGGATTTGAACAACCCATTATTGCACCTTTATTTTCAAATATTTGTACCCATCGATAGATTGGTCCCAATTTCAACAATTCTCCGATCCAAGCATTAATGACAGCCAATATTTCATCGATCGACATTAATGGTAATGATAAACGTGATGATGGATGAAAACACATAACACGACAACGGCCACGTGCTGGTTGAACGCGAAACAATTGACTATCATCATTATTATTATCAATGTTCAGATTATCCGGACATTCCGTATCGATCAATGCAGGAAAATCATTATCAAACACATATGTACTATTGTATAATGGATTTTGAATTCCATTTGCACGTATACCACCAGGTGATAAAGCATTAAGCTTTTCTCCTGCCGCCGTTTCATTCGATTGATTTTGATGATCTTCTTTTTTTTCAATTTTACCCATCCATGGTCTTTTGCTATTTTCAATTCAAAAAAAAATCAATCGTTTACCCAAAAAAGATTGATATTTGATTTGTGTTTACCTTCGATGTGGACAAACTAGAATCCATTCATCCAATAATGGATTATAACGATTATGAGGATAATCTAATCACCGAAAAAACAATAAAAATTACAAAAAAAATTTACAGATCATAAATTACCAATTGATCCAAATTTTGCCATAACTGCTGTACCCGTTAGAAACGAATAAAAAAAACAGCATAAATTTTCATTTATCGCCATCTGTCATTTACTAAAGTCACATTTGATATCAATTCGAATGTTAACATTCGAATTCGAATCAAAACACCGGCTTCAATCAAAGAGGGATATCCAAAAATAATCAAGACCAAAATTTGTTGTTTTTTTCATGTTTTTTTTATTATATAATCAACAAAAACTCACTAAAATAAGGAAAAAGGAAAGAAAAGAAAAAACAAATAAACACAGCAGCAAAAAAAAGGAACAAGATTCAAAAACATGAATGAATCGATGATGTGCGCAAATTATTTTTTGAGAAATGATGATAATGCACAATTTGTTTTTTGTTTTTTGTCTTAAATAAGGTACTTTATGAAGTGTCAAAAATCAAAGGGGGAAGATTAAAGGGAAAAATGAAACACTAATTTTTTTTTTACTTTGTTTTTTTTTTGTTTATAATTTACATAAAACATTTGAGGGCGACTAAATCGATCTATTTTGACATCGAATAAGATGAACATATAGTTTTGTTTTGTTTTGTTTGTGTATCTTGAATCAATGTTTTTTTTTATATCACAACCGGGATTCATTTTTTTTTGGGAATTTTCAAACGAAACAAGAAAATAAAATAGAATCCGGCTGGATTATATATAGAGATTTATTGAGAAAGATTGCCAAAAAAAAGAAAGAAATTCTCAAAATGAGATTAATGAGAAATTTCAATTTGGAGATCCAGTGGCCAAAAGTAATGAAGGTTGTTGAGTCAGGTTAGTAGTGGTGGTAGATGTCGTCGATGTTGTTGCTTTGGAGCTGGTACCTGTATCATCATCATCATCATCATCATCAACAATCACATTATTCGTCGATAAATTTCGATGAAATTGGTTTGCCATTCGATTATGATGATGATGATGAAATGATTTATTAGTCGATGATAATAAAGATGGCACTATTGTATTAGATGATAATGGTGATGAACGAAGAGAAGGAGATGATGATGATGATGATGATGAAACTGAAGCTGCTGCAGCAGCTAAAGTTGAGATCGCATGTGATAATTGTTCATTAATAGCTTCGATTGTTGATCGATTTGGATGATGATTATTATGATGAAAACCATTGGTCAATAAATGATGAGCAACTAAAGAATCGATTAGATTTGATTCTGTTATTGGTATCGATGAATTATTATCTTTTGCTAAATGATTATCAACAACATCACTATGATCAACAATATTTTCATCAGTATCATTTTTTTGTCCTTTAGGTGATTGTGTTTCATCTTCTTCAATGATCTGTATTGATGATGAATATGATGAATGAACAGATTCGGACGGTTCTTGTATCGCATTGTTTGAATTGGTTGTTTTTGAATCAGAATCCAAATCAAATGATTGTTGTTGTTGTTCTTTTTTTATCTTGTCTTGAGCTATCAAATGTTCATTATCTTTTGATGAGCTCATCGATTTTTTTTGATCACCAACCATCACATCATCATCATCATCATCATCTTCTACTTTAAGATTCGATAATTGTTGCTCAGCAATCGGATTCGTACTGGATAATTGTTCAGCAAAAATATCTTCCAACATATCCAATATGTTGGTAAACATTCGTTTTTTAAAACGTTCCATAATCATCGATCCAGATGATGGTAATTGATGATTATTATTAATAAAATGTACAAGTATATCATCGATTAAATATTCAATCATTGATAGATTTCTTTTTAATGCTTCAAATGATGAATCTATGGACATTAAATCAAAATCAAAATTTGAAATTATTATCAAACAAACAATGAGAAAAAAAAATTTCGATCATTTAATACCTTTGATTAATTGGCCCAACATTTGTATTCGTGTTTCCACTTCATGCTGTGCATTTTCTTTGGATGAAAAATTTCGATTTGTTGTTGTCGATGTTGATGATGATCGTTCGAATGAATTGGGCGTCATACCCAATTCAAAACATAAATGTCGCATTTTTTGTAACATATGTATAGTATTATAAAGATTACCTTCCATCAATGTTGTCGGTGAAATTAAAGAAGCTAAATTTTTATTTGTAGAATTTTGATTTTCTTTTAAATGTTTAGCCGATGATAAGATACTTTGATGAGCTGCTGCTGATGCTGTGCTAGCAAATGGCCACAATAAATCACTTTGAGATTGCTGAATAGTATTATTATCATCATTCTTTTGATTAGTTAATTTTATCGATGGTGATGCGGATGATTCATAAAGACTAGATGATGAATTCGAATGATTTTTTGATGGAAACAACAAAGTTCGACCATTACCACCAATCAATGTTTTAGCCAATGATATTTCATTCGATGAATGTTTAGTTTGCGTTTCACTGGTAATTAATTTGAATTAATAATGATACTTATTAAAAGAAAAAACATTTCAAACATTACTCACCTTTTTAATTCTTTTTTCGATTGATTATTCAACAAAGAATCACTTATCAAACGATCAATCGGATGACAATGATTTTGTTGTTGTTGACCATTACTATTTCCACCTGCAGTTGATGGTTGATGTGAAAATTGCATACAAGATTGATTAATAAGATCAACATTCGATAAATTATATAATCGATCAGTATTATTAACCGTAGAAGCTAATTGACCATAATTATTTGCTTGAAATAATGATTTTGATTGTAATTTATTTGTCGTCGATGTAGATGAATCCAAAGATTTATTATTATTATTTTGTAAAATATTTGTTATAAACGCATTCGATGAATTTGTATTATTATTATTTATTAATGATGATGATGTTAATGAATTTACTGATGATGTGGCTGTTGCTGCTGCTAAAGCAGCACCATTTAATAATGTTGAAAGATAATTTGTATTTGTCGTTGATGGCTTTTGTTGTTGCGTTAAGAAAAAATCTTTTTGGCTTTTCGTTTGTTGTTGTTTTAAATCATCATTGGACAACGATGACGGTGTCATCATCATACCTGATGTTAAATAAGATTGTAAAAATGGATAAACAAATGGTGACATTGTTGTTGATAGATTATCACCACCATTACTACCACCAATATTCGAATAATGTTGTTGATGATGTAAATCTAATGGTTCAGTTTTGATTCGTTTATTCGATGATAATGTTTGATTCAATTGTGATTCCAATGACATTAACAACGATGATGGTTTTGTTGATAGAATCTAATTAACAAACGAAAAACGAAAAAAATGAAAAATTCAACGAAAACAAAAAAAGATTTATCATCAAACAAAGAAACTGTCATCGATTTTCATATCTATAATCATCTTTTTCTTCACAAAGTTTTTTTTTCTCAAAGAATTTTTTTTCTCCTACTTAAAAACTTGATAATCGTTTGTTTTTGTTTTTTGTTCGAATGAAAAGCTTCTTTGTTTTTTCTGATCGGTTAACAAATTGTTTTTCAAAAAAAATGTTATTTATGGTTACACATCAAAACAAAACAACCAGAAAAACAAAGAAAAGCAACCAGAAAACATAAACAGCCATTCTCTTGTTTCAAATGAATTTTTTGTTTCTTCTCTTCGAAAATTCTCATTTTTTTTATTCATCGTCAGCATTCTTATACTTACTTACTGACAACAAACAACAACAATGTTTTTCTTTTTCTTCTTTTTCACCACTAGACATCATCATCTTTGATGAAAAATGTAAAAAAAAAAAATTCATAAATTCAGAGCACAGTTGGAGCAAACAGAAACAAAAAAGGTCGATGTTCGAATGTTCAAAGCCATCATCAATCCCGAATGATGATGATGACAAGCCAAGAATCCAATTAGGAAAAGTCAACGACAAAAAGATTGACGCCAAGGTCAAAATAGAAAAATGATTGAATGAAAAAAAGAGAAGAAAACATCAACAGAGTGTATTGGTTTTTTGTTTGTTTCTTCAATTTTCGTTTTCCATCAATGTGTATGACAGATGGTACATTGCACTCATCATCGATTCATAATTACAGAAACATTTCGTTTTCTTAGTTTGAATTTTGTCACACATTAACACTTAATTCCCCCGTCATTAAATTTTATCCGAAAAAAATATTGTCAAATTTTTTTTTATTGTCATTTTGACATCAATTTTCAAAATATGCAAGATTTGCATAAACTTTTTTTGGCCACAAAATTGTTATTTCTGCTTTTTTTTGCCACACAATGACTATTTCAGCAGCAAAGGTAATCGATTCGATTTTCTTTCTTTTCGAGCCATAAAAATTGAACCAACTGAGAATAACACAGGTGTTAACTACACGACCCAAAAACGTGTTTAATTGCCAAATGAAAGAAAAAGAATTGTAAAGAAAATCGATTGAATTTTTTTGTTATAATTGTCAATCATACACACCACCAACAACATATAAAGTTTAATTTGGTTGAACGAATAAAAAAAAATAGCCTAAAGCGATGCTCATTTCCTATAGGTAAGTAATGATTCTTCCTATTTGACAATGGGCCAAGGACATCATGGAATAAAAAAGTTATTTGGGTATAGTGTTAAAAAACTTATACAAAAATGACAAGCCGACTTTTTTATTTTGCCAAAAGGCAAAATAATAATGTTCATACTGGACTGCTTGGCGACAATCCACAATAGGTGGTCAAAAAAATTGTGACAATCAAAATTCTTGTCCATTTTCATTTTCTTCGCATGTGATAGATTGATTATGATTATTGATCACACCACTATGGTTCAATTTTCTTCTTATCGATTCATTCAAATGAAACATTGAAAAAAAAATCGCACACCTGATTTCAAATTCACAGATTCATTCACAATAAAAATCGAAAATTTAAAATCGAAAAACAAAATTCAAATTTCGAAACTTTCAAAACTAAAAAAAATAACAATTTCCGTTCTCAATTTGTTCGAACAATGTATAAACGTTCGAATCTATATTCATCCTTTTGGTTCATTTTGGTCCATTTTTTGATCAAACACTATTTCAACATGTATTGGTCAAGGACCAGAAAGATGTTCGAATCAAACTTTTCAACAAAAAAAAATCTTCAAATGAACCTTGATTTTTTTTTTGTTTCCGGCATAAACATATTTGCTCATCTTTTTTTTCAAACTTTATATGGCTGCATGTCATTTCAAAAAATGAACAAAAAATATCAAACAGCTTGTGTCTATAGGTCAATCAAGTAAATCACATTGGTTTTGGTTAAGAAGAAAATGCATAAACCATGTTGTTAACCTTTGACCTTGTTCTGTGAAATTTAAATGAAAAAAAAAATCTGTTCAACTTTTTTTTTCTTCACTCATCATGTGTGGGTAAACCAAATTTTCTTGAAAAACGAATGACATTTGAATAACAGTTCCTGGAATTTTATCAATATTTTCTTTCACTTGCGAAAATAAAAAATCCTTCTTAAATCCCAATGGAAATTGGAGCAAAATCGCAAGTTAGTTTAGGTTGTTGGCCTTATCAGAACGGAAATCAGTCATTTTCATTGTTTATACCCGAAATACTACAGGTGATCAAAAAAAAATTGAATATCGACACAAAAGGGTTAGATTTTTGTTAATCTAAAATTATCAACAAAAAAAAAATGAACAAAATTGAAATGATCTTTGACCGTATCAAAAAGATTATTTTCTTCTTCTTTCGGTGTGAAGGTCTTGGGGTAAATTTCCAAGGAAATAATGTTGGCCTTGCCTTAATTCAAAATTTTTATTTCTTTTTTTTTTTGTTTGAATTCCAGGAATAGGTCAAAGTTTATTGATGTTCAATTCTAAAAATGTCACGGCTGTTTCTCTCAACTTTAAACTTTCAAAAGCATCATTTGAAAATAGAGATAAATAGGTTACAGCCATTTTCCATTTTACGGTTTTTTGTTTATTCATTCGATTTGGCTCAAAGTTTTTGGATCATCAATGTTAAAATAGCCAAACTAAACTTTGAAACCAGTCAGCCAACCAGTTTAATATCAGGGTTTATTTTTTTAAAACATTTTTTGGACATGGCTTCAGAGAGGGTAACTCAATCCTTCAACAAACAAACAAACAAAAAAAAGCGACCAAGGTCATTTCGATTTTTGCTCGATTGGAAAAAATGGTCATTTTTTTGGCTAAGTGTGCGAAAAAACAAGCTAGTCACTCACTCTCTCATTCACTGTAGGAGGGAACATGACCACCACAAGTGGTCACCCTACAAATAACACCATAAGAAGAAAAATATGGGTTCAGAAAAGGGAAAAAAAAAACATTATTATTTTGCGCTTATAAGCCACACGTGCATCATCATCATATCATCATCAAAGTTGCTATTGGCACACACGTGTGTGTTGTGTTGTGTATGTTCATTCCAAAAAAAAACTTTTTCAAACTGATTAAGTAAAAATAGTTTGCCCAAGGCAATTTTCTTTCAATTCGATCGGTTGGTTGGTCAGAAAAAAGAAAAATTCTTGACCAAATTTTTTTGAAAAAACGTCTAGGTCTGTATAATAAATGAACAATATTGGGAAAACGAAAAAAAACCAAACAAATTCCATATCAGCAACACACAATCATCACTTGTTGATGTTTTTTTTTATTGCTGACTTTACTTAATCAAAATCAATCAGAAAAATCAAAAATCAGCAAAATCGATAAAGGATTAAATCATAATCTCTCTCCCTCTCTCAATTCAATTTATCAATTTTTATCGACATTGAAAAAAAAAGAAGAGACATCCATTTATCATCCATCCATCGAATGAATGAATGTTTATATCAAAAAGTACACAAAAAAAAAATCATGTGCCATCATTTCAGTATGAAATCGGATCATTTCTTCTGCAGACATAACAACAACTATTTCAACTTTACTTTGGAAAAAAGTCTAGACTTTTTTTTTCTCGTTTAAAACAAAAAAAAAGAGGCGAAAGGATTTTTGTTTAGTAATCGTATGATGCGACATAAACAAAATTTGAAAAAAACAGATTTTCATTATAAACACATCCAAGAGTTGTCTAGACGGAAAAGCAATTTCAACTACTGGGAGCCTCACTATTTTCACCTTGATGGATCTTTTTTGCTTCGGGTTCTTTTGAAAATGGAAAAAAATTTCTATTTCAACTTACCGATGTGTCAAATGTCATATCTTTACGTTTAAAATTGCCTGTCAATAATCGAGATGATGAATTCAATTTCGATGAAGAAGAAGAAGATGCTAATGTCGTTGTTGATGTTGTCGTTTGTTTTGCAAAACGACATTTCATATCTTTCATAATTAAACGAATATTATCAATTGATTGATATAAGGCTGTATCGGTTATTGATGATGATTTAAATGCTTTTCTTCCACCTGTACAACATGGTGGAATCAATAATGTTGATGATGCAGATGAAGATGATGCGGATGATGCAGATAATTTACTATTTTGTATTAATAATAACAAATGACTTAGATTTTTTTGATCAATTAATAACGATTGTAAATTATTTGATGAAATAATCATTAATAATGATGATGATGATGATGATAAATCATCATCTAAACTAGCTAAATCTTCAATTGGTAATAAATATGAACGCCAATTTAATGGATCAAAACCCCAATGTACTGTACGATTTTCATTACCATATTGTTGTTGTTGTTGTTGTTGTTTATGTGAATGACAAACAAATGAAAATGTTGTAAATAATGACATACATTCATTACATTGTATACATTGTGCTAAATCATTTGTATATAATGTTGGTAAATAACGACCAATACAACGGCCAAAACATTCATGATAAACTAATATATATGGTTCATTAATAAAAGTTGTTTCCGTAATATTTCCAACACCAACACCAACACAACTACCACCAGTTGATGAACCTAATAATGTTGAACAAAGTCTATGTGCATCAGTTTTGGTTATCAAACCACAACTTGGTGCCATTGGTGGTATATCACCATTCAATTTTAAAACTTCCATTTGATCACGTGTACATGTTGAGCAATTAATCTGTAATTCTTCAATAACTTGATTTATTTGTTGTAATGTAAAATCTCTAAGTACAATATTGAATATTTGTGGTACACATAACCGAAGTTCACCACCAACCATAAAACAGGCAATTAATTCACCTTCTAATTTGGTTTCTGTACGTTCAATACGATTTGGACCTTGATCCGGTGGTGTTAATAATGGTGGTTGTTGTATTGGAAATGGTGGTGGTGCAAATAATGGATCAAATATATCTTTTAATGATGTTAACCCTTGATTTGTTGATAAAGATGAATGTCCACCACCACCACCACCAACAGCAGCAGCAGCCGCAGACAAATATGGTGATAATGTTTGTTTGTTATTATTAGTTATGGTTGCTGTTGATGATGAATTTAATGTTGATGCTGCCGCTGTTGTTGTGCGTAAATCAAGAGTTGTTGTATTAAAAATGCCGGCAATTTTATTATTATCAACAACAGTATTGGATTTAGTTTTGGTAAGCTCCAAAACATCATTATCGGTTAAAGATTGAGATGCAGCAGCAGCAGCAGCAGCCGATGATACTATCATTGAATTATTATTGCCATTGATGGTTGAAGCATTTGTTGTTGTTGTTGTCGCCGATACAATTGGTAAAAACCAATCAGGACCATTTAATGATAATGTAGCTGCTGCTTGATAATGTTTTAAAACTTTTTTTATATGTTTTGAATGTGATTCTAATGTAGTCGATGTTGTCGATATAGTCGTCGATGTTGATGATTGGCTTTGGCCATTATTATTATTATGGGCAACAGTTAAATCCATACCGACTATTGAATTTAATTTGGCATTCGTCGTTGATGATGATGATGATGATGGAAAAATGATTGAATTTTGTTGTCGCTGTTGTTGTTGTTGTTGTTGTTCAATATTTAATTTACTTAAATCAACTGGTGAATTTTCTTCATTAATCAAACGTTGATTCTTTAATGGTAAAAAAGTATCTGGCACAATTTGTTGTTGTTGTTGTTGTTGTTGTTGAGTCTGAGATTGTTGCATCGTTGAATCAATAAAAACATTTCTAAAATTGAAACGAAAAAAAAGAAGAATTATACTTTAAGACATTTTATGATTAGTAAAATGTAACATGACCAAAACAGAAAAACTAAAACAGAAAACTAAAACAAGAAAAAAATTAGATGCCTAACAATTCCGTTGAATTATTATTATTATGATGATGACTGATGATGATTAATTAAACATGAATGTTTTATCATTAGAAAACAAAGCCGCATCTATTTTCATTCTTTCTTGGTTACATTGAAATAATTCTTATTCGCTTATTCATCATCATCATCATTGGATTCTTATCATTTTCTCTCTCTCTCTCTCTCTCTCTCTCTCTCTCTCTCCCTCTCTCCCTCTCTCTCCCTCTCTTCTTTCTTCTTTTATTTTTTTTTTTTTTTTTTTNGAAATAATTCTTATTCGCTTATTCATCATCATCATCATTGGATTCTTATCATTTTCTCTCTCTCTCTCTCTCTCTCTCTCTCTCTCTCTCTCTCTCGATACAATTATCAAAAATGGCGCTAAAAATTTATTTGAAAAACAAAAAAAAACTCCAAATTACAATAACCCAATCAATCAAAGATTTGTTGTTGTTGTTGTTAAGGTTACTCTAAATATATATCCTTCTGATTAAAATCTTAACCATCATCATCATCATCATCAACAACAACATTTCAATCAAAAAAAAACAACAAAAAAATTATGAAAAGCCAGATGAGCGCCAAAAAAACTAAAGAACAAGAAAAAACAACATAATCATCCGGCGACTACTGTAATGATTACTTAAGAAACTTTTTTCCTTTTAACAAAGATGGTAGATGTAGTTCACTGATTCCATATAGACATTTTTCTAATCATTCTTTGTGATGATTGGGAGCGAAAGTGTTATTCAACAACGACGACGACGCCGCTTTTTTTTTGGCTTGACAACACAAGTTTTGTTGTTGCTGTTGCTGATGCTGGTATTCATTCATTCATATGGTTCGATTTCGTTGTTTGATTGGATCTGATTTTGTTTTTGTTTTTTCCGTAGAAAAAGAGAAGGACGACTGTAGAAAAAAAAATGAGAGAATAGGGTGGTCTGGAAAAAAAACTGTACATGTAATAATCATTATTTTATCATCGAATCAAAATCATGAATTTCCAAATCAAAATCAAAAACAAAAAAAAATCAAAAACAAAAAAAAATTCACAAAAACAGCCAGCCAGCCAGCCAGCAACAGAAGCAATCACCATACAGCAGAACAAACAAGAAACCCGGGTTAATTTTTTTCCCTCCCGGTATCATTGTAGACCCGGGTATTTTTTTTTTGTTGCGAGGGCCTGTATAGACACAGATGGAATATTCTTTTGCTCTCTATCTCTCTATACACACAAAAAAAACAAACAAAAAAAAAACATTCGGGAAATGGGAAAAGTAAACGAAAATTGTCGTTTTTGTTGTTGTTGTTGTCGAATGAATGATTGGTTGGTTGGTTGGAAAAAACAACAACAACAACAAAAGAATCAAGAATCAACCTCAATAGAAAAAAAAACAACAAGAAAGAAAGAATCTGGTTGATTCTAGTTTTCACTTTAAAATTTGACCATAAATGATAAGTTGAATAAACTCTTCTTTTTTTTTCTTCTTCTTCTTTTGCTCGCTTGAACACCGCTTGTTAAATTAATTTTTAAAAAAAGAAAGAAAAAAAAGAATAAACACATTGTTGTTGTCGTTGATGATGAGGATAATGATTTTGTTTTGTTTTTTTAAAATTCTCTCATCCTCCTCCCCCCAAATTCTGTTTGGTTTATACATTGAATTTTCCAACATAAAAAAAAACATAAATGTACTACTTACCATGTATTTATTTACATCATCATCATTATCATATTATGAGTGAAAAGAAAAAACAAAAGAATATTATTTGAACAAAAAATTGAAGATCGAAGATCGAAGATCGATTAGTTTTTCATTTGTTTGTTTGTTTGTTTGGTTCGATGGATCGAATGATGATGATGATATTTCACTAATATGTGTGTGTGTCCATTTCATTCGAGAATGTCCAAAAAAAATGTATTTTGTTTGTTGTTTTGTTTACAACGTGTTCATCATCGGATATCCAGAAAGAAAAACTCGATTTTTTTTCTCTATATTTTTTTTCTGGATATTTGTGCCGCGCACACACACATCACATCACATCACATCACATACAGCTGAATATAGAAATGATGTTTTGATTATTTTTTGTTTGGTTGATGTAATTTTTTTTTTTTGGTTATAAATTCACAGAATAAACATCATGATTTAACTAAAACCGATCACAGACTGACTGATGATCCTCAATATACCATTCGTTCATTTCTGGTGTCTATGGATGTCTCTCGATCTGTTATGATGATGATAATTCTGCTAGCATTCATCGATGGGGGAGTAAAAAAAAAAAAAAAAAGTACCGTCATCTTAGC